CACCTGCAGGGCGTACTTGTTCTTGCAGACCTTGCCACAGTCGGTGCAGCTAACGGGCACGGGGAAGTGAACCTTGCCGATGTGGGCCTTGAGCTTGCCGTAGTTGCTGGAGAGGTGGGGACAGTGGGGGCAGGTCAACATCCGACCTGGAACGAGACCAGGACGGCATCAGAGGCCGTGATTCGACCGCTGAGCCTCGCATGCCGGCGACGCCAGCCAGCGAGCGCGCGTCGCCGACGGGCCCAGCCAGGCGGGTCGGACTAGGTCAGGTCAGGTCAAGGACGAAGGTCAGCGCAGCAGGAAGGCAGGCGCGAGAGGCGCCATCTGAGCCGCTTTTCACGGCACGCCGCAGACCCGTAGGCTCTCTCTCTGTCTACGCATCGCATGCGGCTCCGGGGCTGCAAAGCCACGCCACTCTGTCGCCGTATATTTGAGTCTCAGCGTGGTAACTTCGGTCAGCGCTATAATATCGCTGGAACGTGCCATTCGCACACTACATCGACAATCTTCTCGGCACCGAAGGTAAATGGCAGTTGGAGCGAGCGCGACAACGTCGCTGGTAACGAAAATATAGACCGCTGTCCTCCACCGAATACAATATGCATCCAAGTCACAGACCGCGGAACACTTCACAGCCCACAGGTCGCGGCTGGGTATAATTCCAGAACTACGTACTGCACAAAACCTACAGCGTGGTAACAGCCATCACCTGGCTTGGGTTAGTTATCCCCGATTAAAAATATCATCATCTCAGGTTAACATCACATCCTCGACGGCCCGAGGTCGGCATCGAGGTCATAAACTTCCATTGGTATAAAATACGACAGGCATCCGCCCCGTCAGCGTTCCTCCGCCAGCATCTAAAATCAACCACCGATTTCTATATGACAAATCCTCATTTAACACCGTCCGGTTGCATCCAGCGCGGACGACAAAAACACATCGTCCTGCTCCTTCAGCGCCGGCCGCCAATGCCTGCCGCAGCAGTCCGCCGCGCCCAGACAGCGCTCAGCGCAGGCAAGGACGGCGTCCGCCCCGACCGTCTGGCGCACTGCGCAGCGCCCGCCCATGAGGCAGATTACCCTATCACCTGACCGCCTTATTCACTGCAGGCCTGGCCGCCGCCGTCCCGCCGAGCGGAAGGCGGAGCCAGCTGTCACCCGCACCACCTCCTACGTGGCGCGACACGTGGCGCGCCCGTCGGGCGACATCCAAGTGTCGTGCCCCCGTGGGTCCGTCCGGCGCGGGCCGTGGCGTCGCTTGCGCGGCCGCGCTGGCGGTTGCACGGCGGCTTGCGGTGCCCCGCGCAGCACGCCCTGAAGTGGGCGCAGCGATTGCCGCAACAGCGGACACTGCACGGGGACGGGGGAATGTGCACGCGCGCCCATGTGGTCCTTGATGGTGGGACTTGCTGGAGGAAGACAGGCCGGACAGTGGGGCACGCGCTGACGGAGCGGCCGCTGCGGCGCCGCCAGCCTCGGCCGCCGTCAGGCCGCCGCAAGCCCGACCTGCCGGCAGACACAGAAGCCCGGTCAGCAGCGGCGCGGCCGGCGGCGAGACGGCGACGACGGCGGCGGCGGCGGCGGCGGCGGCGGACCGGATCGCGTTAACTTCGGGACAGCGTCGCTGCACCCAGGGACTGGGCGAGGACACCCTACAGAGGCCAGTACCGTCCGATTCAGGCTGCTTGTAAACAGCACCGGGCGGCTGCATCCCAAGGATCGAGCGGATCTGAGAGCCCAAGAGAGTATCGCCCGAGGGGATCAATAATCTTTGTCGGTTCTCTTACCGTCGCGTGTAAATGCATGGGTAACAACTACTGTCAAAACTTTGTGGAACTGGTTGTCAAAACGGTTTCTTGGGAACGGTTGTTCTCTTAAAGGTTCCCTACTGTGAGTGGAACGCGTCGAACCCGATACCTCCCGATCTTCAGTTCAATCGTCTCAATTATTCGAGACCTTCGGTCAGGCTATTCGGTGCTCAGGCTCAGGCAAGAGGCAATTCTGACCAGACGCGAAGAAACCAGACCGGCCGTCATGACATGATCGCCTTATTACGAGGCGGCACCAGCAACCCGTAAAGCCAACATGACATGACAACATAGATCAAGGATTAAGCCAGAATATGACCAGAGCATCACAGACAAGCAAAACAAAAAGAAAAAACGGGCACACGAACAGGCCAAAAATAGGAATTGTAGCCAACTAATGATCATTTCAAAATTTATGCAACTGCACGCCTAGCCGTGGAAAATGAGCTAACGCAACACTGACAGTGCGCTCAAAGCCCCGTCTTTCGGCCGTAAGTCGGAAAACAACTACCACTGCGTGTTAAGGAGTACGAAATCGGTGGGTTCAGTCTTCGCGGCAGACGTAATCACAGTCCGTAATGTCTCAATATACTAACAAATGGTCATTGTCACACTGCAAAACTGACGAGATCCAAGGGTGGCACCATGTTAAATGGTTGCGTAGCCACTACTCGGAGGAAAAAAGCAGACAATCTAACCATAAGCTCCCTGATTTGTGAGGTGTTTTTTCGTGTTTAAGCGCATTACTTAAGTTATATCATCCAGGGACGCCTTTTCCCTGGGCCTCAAAATAAAAATCAACATTATCACCGCATTCAAGGCCGGTTAAATATGACTCCAACACCATCTCCAGGTTGGTAAAACATGACTCCAACACCACCTCCAAGCTGGTTAAATACGTATTTGCGAGGCATCAAGGTATTCGCGAGGCATGAAATCGTTGATTCAGTCCGCACTGAGAGTGTCAAGACCCAGTCATATCACTCACCCCGCTGGGAGTACTACGCAGATATTAATCAGAAACTTGACAATGCAAGCGTGGGATGACATCTGGACGTGAGCAAACGGGCGAACTGCCGCCGCAGGTACCAAAACTGCTACAATGAACTGCCAAAAAAAAGGAACCCGTCGCTTTTCAATAATTTCGAAATACTACGAAGCGAAACCAGTCTTCTGAAGCCCGCGACCGTAGCCTGAACATTATATTCGTGACCATGCCTCTTTCCGAGGCTCACTCATTTACAACCCCAGCGTGTGGAAAATCCGAAAGTTGGTGCCCGCATCTACACAGCGACGAATTTTTGACGAAGAGCATTCCCATATTACGACAGAATTATAACTGCCGCTTTATCAGCACTACACTGAAATCTAGTCGTACCGGACTTACACATTACAGTCGCAAATAGTTATATTTCCTACAGCTCTGCACATGTCTACCAAAACCTAAGAAAGCATGTATTGCAAACAAACCAGGACTAGAGCGTGACGCGGTCAGAAAGGATTACGACAGCGTCTGTGACGCAGCGCAAAGTCCTCTTAATGCCTCCGACAAATGCTATCTAAAAAATATCATGTGCTTTGGAAAATGCTGAGATTTCCCCACGTTATAGGTATGGACGCTTGATGTATTTTTTGTGATTGCTATATCGTGTTTGAACTGTACAAAATTGTTCAATTTTGAAAAGCCATGTTCATAGCGTTAACTAAGCTTAACTGCCTCGATGCATGGCGATGGACCAATGCGCAACATCATTTACGTTTACTTATTTATGGGTTGTAGGGTAACGCACCTGGGTTAACTTCTGCCGGTTTATTTTTCACGCCAACCAGCAACCACAGACAATAAGTGCTAAGTGCACCATAACCAAACGTATGGCGGTTATGCACCACTGGAAGTTTGTGCGAGTTTATTTCATCCAAGAACTGAGAGCCTGCAGACTAACAAGCAACATCCCCCGGCCAGCAATAGAATGGCAGAGGGTCTTCTGGGCGAACTTTCGTAAAAGCATCTAAGGTTTCGCCAACTATTGCTGGGCTATAGTTAACGCACGAACATAAGACAAGACCTCAGATGAGCAGAGTGGAGGGTCGCAATTCTCTTCGAGAAGACTGACGATTGGAAAATCTTGCGAGAAAACTCCATAGATTTAGCTGCTCACCGGCTGCAGTGGAAGATGTCTGGGGTTCCCGGCTACCACGGACCGACATGTGCAGGCGAACAATGTCCCCACAGATAGAGTTGCCGGCGAAAAATGCCACCGCGAACAGAATTGCTCTCAAGTGCAATGACTCCGTCATTCAAATCTGCTCGAGTGCGTGCATGGGGCTGCTCCCCACCGCCACAGCTCTGCCCACAGGACCACCCAGTGCCGCACAGGGGCGCCCTCCTCACGGCCACAGCTCTGCCCACAGCGTTACCCGGCGTCGCGCAGAAGTGCCACGACAATCGCTCGCTGGCGTCTACACAGCGTGCGGCCATGTATCGCACTATTCCGACCGCAGCGAAACACTGAGTCCTACGGCAGCTTGCAGACTGTCTAAGCTGTTCCTTGACGGCGGCAGACTGGATATGAAATGCCATGTCATGGCAGCGAGGGCATGCTGTGGACATGGATATAGCACGGGCAGCACCCTATGCCTAGTAAACGCGGCATAAACCATGTCATACGGAGTGGCATACGTACGGATTGCACCAGTAGGTTGCGCAAGCGGGACCATTTTTCGGATGGTTCATTCCAAACCTCGCATCCATCGTGCATCGACACGGATAATCTCGGCTTAAGCTTTGCGCCTTCCCGCGTAAAGGTGAAAAAGCCACCGATCTTGGCTTGATAACGCATTGAATTGTTCCCTACATTCCCAGCGATTAGTGGCTGCAAAAGATCGGGTCCGTTGCGGGCTAGGCACCAGCATCGTACCTTGACCGATAAGTCGCCTATGACAAGAAAAAGCCGCGGGACGAACTTTCTCCGTTCGGCCATCAGATCTCGCTCCCGCATCCTAGTAGCCAATCCGGGCGATCCCGTTGCTTGAGGTCAGGAGGCCCGGGCGGCCGAACCGGGTGGCGCCCACCCGTGCCAATGGTTACGGCAGGCAGCCTGTTGCGCCGGCTGGCGCACCCGCAGCCTTAAGAGGCTGGGCCACTTTCACCGAGGCTCGAGGGCGGCAGACGACGACGGTGGCGACATCGCCCGGACGACCGCAGAACCAAGGTTGTTGCTCGCCGGCCACCGACCGGCCGCGCGTGGGCGGAAGCCGTCTTCATCCGCGCTCAACTCCCGCAACGGCGGCTCATCTGCCGCGTGTTTCACCAACGATAGCAATCGCCCATCTCTGCAGCCACCTGCTTGATTTCGACACCACTCACACTAATTGAGCGCAAAAGAGACCCATCGCCCTTCCAGTCCACGCCGCCGATGAGACCACGCGGCCCCACAACGGCTGTACTACGCCAGTCGGCACCGCTCGGGGCGGCAGCCTTCTGCCAGGCAGCGGGCGGCCCACCGCCAGGTCAGCGCTCCACTCGCGGCGTGCGGCCGCCGAGAAGGCCGGGCGGCGCCAGTGGCGGCCGGTGCGGCGGCGCGCGGCCGGCCGAGGTGGCGTCCACGGCCCGGCTCTGGGACAGCACCGGGCCAAGGACAACAACCGTTTGGCCCCCGTCACGACCAGGATGCGGGTGCAGTGACACAGAGAGCGGCATGCACGGGTGTACGCATGCACAGCGTGCGAGGCGAGCAGGCAGACACCGCCAATCAGGGCCCGGGAGGCGGCCAATCGGAGCCCGCCGGAGCGGAAAAACTGCCAATCGACGCCCGCCAGAGCGAAGAAGCGTCCAATCAGAGCCCGCCAGAGCAGAGAATCGACTGATCAGAAAGCCACGGTGCGCTGAGTGCAGCGTAATTAAGGCGTGAAACGAAAGGCGACAGTCATGCTGCACATTGGGGTAACCAAGTTCCCTCAACCCATGACCCAAAGTTTACACCTCCTAGCCAACGAGAGAGTAACGCATGTCAGCTGACGAGACACGAACGCATGTTCCGAAGATAAATGTAAAATTTTGGCACCACAAAATACCCCTTTACTTTATGCAAACACGGCTTAACGGCATTGCCACGGAAAGTACGCATGGCCCCAACCGCCATCCAGCAACAAAGAGACTCGTAATCGACGCGCTGGGATTTTCCGAGTTTCGTTACCAACAGGCTTAGAAACAATAACTTGTGGCGAACCACTCAGGCCGTCAAAGACACCAGTGAGACCGTAAAAACAGCATACAACCGAAAAACAGCACTGCTGATGAAGAAGCCCGAGCCCAATGCACAGCCTCGGCGGCCCCAGTCCGGGGCCGGACTCGGATGGTTCTGCGTACTCACTCAGCGGGTCGGAGCTGGCCTCGAACGGCAGGGAGGAAGGGCCGGCGCCGGTCACCGACTGACCTGCCGGCACACGGCAGCATCGGTCAAGGGCGGCGCTCGACACAGACACGCCGGCTCGGCCAGGTCCCAGCTGCACACCGGCCAAGCCCCATGGATGCCACTTTGGGAAGCTCTTGAGCAGCTCAATCTATCAATAGATCCATAAATCAATCAAAACATACCTGTTTACAAATTCAGCCATGTAGTCGATAAATTGGGTCTCCATCACCAAGCTGAGTTTCCCACTAGCATTCCCGATCTCATAGAGCTGCGCTCACAAAGCCGGCTTAAATGCGAAACCACGCCCAGGCCGCCCCGGCAAGCGAATCTTGCCACGGCAAAAGCACTGACCGGATGGACAAAACGCATGGGTGATCACGAGGCGTCCAACTAACCTCGACTAGCTTCGGCAGGTAATGTTTGCTCCACGTCCTCTATGGACACTTCTGCGGGCAGTAGGGCGCCGCCCTCCTCCCCGACCAGACTAGTTTGAGGCAGAACACGCAGGTGCTCATCGCCCCCTCTCTCGGCCGGCGCGTAACCTGGGGCGTGGCTCTCAGCCGCCTCACGCTTAACGGCGCTGGGGTCAAAGAGAGGCGGCGCTTGCGAGGCGGGCGTGGCGGCGGTCGCGTGCACCAGCGACGGCAGCCGGGGGCGCTTGGCCGGCGGCGGCTCCTCGGCGGGCGGGGCGCCGGACGCCGCCGGCGACGCACTAGGGGTGGCCACTCGGCTGGACTGTCCCTGCGACGAGAGTGGCCGACGTCAGCCAGGGTCGTCAGTAGACGCCTGACGGCCCCACGTACACGCATTACCAGCGCCTCACAACGTCACCTAGCGCCCCAATGGCCCCAGTCGTGCGGGAATGGAGGAACCTGTTGCAAACCACATGTGAGTGAGGCCCTACACAAAGGATGGATAGTCCTGGGGGAAAGGCGACAGCAATCTGGGACCAGTTTTGAGACATATGTCAGCCTGTTGTGAGAAATATGCATCTGAGAGTATTTTGAAGAAAAATCTTAGTCTGTTGCACGCCCTGTAGCTAGTCATGCAAGGCAAAGGTGAATTAGCTCTGCACCACGTGTACCAACATCCTAATGCTCCTCACCACACCAAGACAAACTCCCAGTTCGTGCCTAACACTTACGTTGGAGCCGCTGCCCTCTTCCCGCTTGTCGTCAGCAAGGCCCTTGACCTTGAGCAGCTCCGCCACCTTGAGGAACTCAGCCAACTGCTCTTGGGCCACATTAACCTCACCATGGTACATAAAGTCGAGCAGGAGCACCATGTTCTGCTGGCTCACATCTCGCAGGATCACGATTGGGTGCGGGTGCGGGTTGGACTGGAAGTGGCCACAAATACTGGTCACATGCTGGGCGGGTGAGGCTTTTTGGTGCTTCTTCCATGTTGGCAGATGAGCCGTACCAAACATCTCGAGAGAAGGCCAACAAGGTGTGAAATGACCATGATAGTGGGTGCATCTTAAACCCTAATCATTGAAACCCAATCAAATGCAAGAAGGTAGTGCAAAGGTTCAAGCATCATAATCTCAAATTTTAAATCATTCCATATGTTTTGCACATTAGCAGTATATCATATAGACTATCTTCTTCTGATGACAGTGCATACCACGCCAGTCAATATTGCATCAAAATGAATACTAGGACATGTAGGGGAAAAAAACTTCAAGACACAACATATTATGGCCTTCTTTGCCAACTGACAACAAACCTTAAGCAGCTGTCTGAAGAAAGGGCTGCATGCAGAGAGAACCATTCTGTGAGCCTTCATGTGAAAGCCATCACAGGCCAGTGTGACATCCACAAAGTCCTCATCCACTCGTAGAGAGTCAAATGAGTTGGCTATGTTGACATGATAATTGTTCCACTTCAAACAGAACTGCTGGTTCCCCTCCATGTCAGGGAGCTACTCAGACAGACACCCGCACCTGGAACGGACAGAGGAAAGTTGTTAATTTTCAATGGTGCACCTATGAAAGGAGGCAAATTAGCATACCAGCCATAGCTGCAAAATGAAATGAATGCAAAGAACTGGCAAAGCATGACTATCACTGACCACAATCACAACATCCCAGTGATTGCAGTGCAGCCATGGAAACATAAAACACACATGTCCCACTGCATAAAAAATGCTACTAAGTAGCATGCATAAACCAGAAAAGCAATTTATATTATTTTTCCTTTGCATGGCAGAGCTGAGCTCCACTTTTGGCCATTATCTTTTCTCCACCTCCTGGAAAAGTGTTGTTTGAAGGATGGCCAAAATTCATGCAAGTAGCAAGAATTATGGTAAATACAATTTTCTCCCAAAATAGATAATCTCCAAATTGGTCCTGAGATCTGAACCATGACCTGATAGCATATTTCCAATGATGAGTCACCATGGCATGCATAAAACATGCTGAGGTCATGGTCCAGCAGCACTAGGTGGCAGACAAACATACATGCATTCTCTGACTGTTGAGTTTGTAACACCTAGCTATCACCTGGCCTGATTCCTTCACTTTGCTTCCAATAGCCTGGTGGGCAGCCAACAGCCTTCTATCCCTCAGACCTGTCCATGCCTTCCAAGCCTGTGTGAATGTGATACTACTGATCATGTCATGAGCAAGCTTTTTGCTTGGGGCATTAGCAGCAGTATACTGCCTTTGGCTATGGCCACTTTTTTGCTTGCTGCTTACTGCCATTAATTTCTAACATTACCTGCACCATAAGATTGACTGTTTGGCATGCTGAACAGTAACACGAGCTAATATCTTTGGCTATGAAAGTGGCCTCCACATCTGCCCCTTCTTAGGACACAGCATGCATAATTTTGATAGCAAAATGATTACTCAAATATTCTGAATGCTCTTCTTGCCAACTGAAATGCTCTGGAGAGAAAGTCAACAAAGTACCAATGATACACAAGTATGCTGTACTTAGTTACTGACTGGGATAGGTAGGTGCCAAGGGCTTTCAGCATGCCTCAACTCACATGGTGGCTAGATTCCACATTTTCCTTAACCAGCATGACAAATTTTCAGTCAAAGTGGTCATGGGAAGAAGGAGAAGGCTCTCTTACTGACGCTAAATGGGAATTAACAAGAAAACAAGCACTCAAAGAGATCAAACACAGGATAATGATATAAACAGATATCCAAAGTAGCTCCGTATGCGTTGAAAATCTTACCATCATTGAAGGCAGCCCTTGGATTGTGACTCGTGACAACATCATGTGACATTCAAACAAGCATTGGCATCAACCACGGCCAAAAAAAAGACAATGGGAATATCAGCAATGCCCAGATAAACGGAACACAAAGCTTGAGACACCTGACTAAGACAATCAGCGGCATCTCCGGGAAGAAACATGAAAGCACCACTTACCCTCATCCAATCATCCATACGCCAGCACCCAGCCGCCTTTGTTGGGAAGAAAGTCCGGGGAGAAAGTAAAAGCGAAAGTACACATCGCCTCCGACGTACCGCGCCGCCCAGCCTTGCTCGCCTCGGGGTCACTCAACCTTTCACCGTTGGAAGGCAAGAGATGGGTAATGTTTACAACGGAGAGAAGAGAACGACATGGGTCAATTATTTACAGATGTTTCTGTGATATTTATGGATGAGATACCATCAGTTGTGCTAAAATGTATCGTTCGAAACCGATGGCATTAGTCCCAACTTTTCCCACACGAACACGAACGATAAAAATAGTGGTGGGCTGAGATGACGGCGACGTCGTTTTGCATCGTATGGCACCAACTCAATGGAGTTCGTGAAATTGAGCTCCTGAAAACGAACTTGAAAGCTTCCATACTTGATTGCCGGAAATATAAGGGATGGTCCTACGGAATGTCTATGATGAGGTGTGAACACGAATTAAATATTACCTTCAGGGATGTTCTTGAATTATGATACGCATTTTGGGCCATTTTCAAACGTCCCAGCTCCTGGCCAAGGTGAATGTACTAGGAATGGATGAAAATGAATGTAATGCGCGCTCCTGTAATGCAGTGCGTACTGCCCTGGTTGTGCGTAGTGCGCACTGGCCTCGGTGGGCGAAACAACCCTAGCCTAGTAATATTGTGTAAAGCGTTGTGTCCGCCCCTTACCCTTCTCCTGGCGAGGGACCAGCGGGTAGAGCACTAGGGACACGTTATGTTTCCTGGTCAGGGGCTGAAGGGTCGTTCCATCTTAGTCCAAGGCGCTTACCAGCCGTGTTCTTGGTGAAACAGAGGCATCCCCGTATACACATTGGTCGCCTGCTTGACGCCGAAATACCCCTGATCGGGACTTTGGACCCGGATCGGCGCAAGGTTCCCCATTGACACAAAACAGTTCCTTTATCGACTCGGATGTCTAACTCAGATCAGTTGGCTCAGAGACTCCAGTTCAGCATAACGGCTGAAATGGCTGCTGTTGAATTGGACGAATAATCTCGTAAAGCTGAATAGCCTTATTTCCCGAATGACATATATGAGTCGGATAGGCAAGAGTGTGCACCAGTGAGAAACATCTCTATGCATATGCATATCTAGGATATCAGTCATTACATTTGAGTAAAGAGTGATGACCTCCATCTCTACTCCCCCCCCCCCCCCGGTCGTCCGGTCTGTTTTCCAGAAAACAATCCTAAAGTATGCCCTGAGCTGGCCCCCTCTCCCCCCCCCCGAACTTTTTGAAACGTTCCTACGCCTATGGGTAATATCACGTCTTTCCTAAGGCATGAAGAGACAACATAATACTTACGCTCCCAAAACCAGGGAAAGACTCCAAAGACCCATCACACTATTGCCCCATTGCACTTGCTAACTGTCTAGGCAAGCTTTTTGAACCCACGATGGTGAAGCGGATCTCTTGGACCGTAGAACGAGACTGCCTGCCTTCAAAACATTAATGTGGTCTTCGACAAAATCACAGCACGATAGACCACATCATTCGACTCGGAACTGACATTAAACATTCCTTTAAACATCGAGATCACACGACTGCTGTTTTCTTAAACATAAGCTGAGCCTGTAATATGGTCTTTAAACCTGCATTTATTTTCAAAATCCATCAATAAGGGTGTAAAGGTCGTTTAGCACGTAACCTCATTGGATTTCTTTCTCGCATCAGACCATTTCGTGCGGGATGCGGCTCCGCCGCTTCTGACACTCACAATCTAGAGAAAAGTCTCCCACAGGGAAGCTATATCTCACCGATTATGTTTAGTTTCATGATAAACGATTCGTTGACTCATTACCACCGAGCAATTCTTCTTCCCACATTTTGCGGACGGCAGCGCCATCTGATGCTCGGATGACGAGTATGACCACTCGCTGCCACGGCTCCGAGCCGCCCAGAACGAGGTGTAGCAATGGTCAGAGCGTCACGGGTTCAGGTTCTCCGCTCCTAAGTCCGCGGCTATGATTTTCCGCAAAGATATGCGTGGCACTCCTATTTTTCGGCTACGATCAGATGGACATTACATTCCTTTCGCTTCGTCTTTCACATTTCTTCGCATCGTACTTGACCCAAGATTGTCGGTGTGACAGCGCATGGAGTACGCTCGCTCCAAATGCCTTGAGAGACTAAACTTCTTTAGATGCATCTCCAGGTCACGGCACAGTGCAGCCAACCAAACGTTGTTACTTGCACACTTGGGGCCCACTTGAAGTGGGCCCCAATTTTGCCGCTTCAAGTGGATGCCCACGTCATGCCTCTCGCTCTTCAACGAATGAGACACACATTACAATGTATAACAAAAGTGCGACAAAATCCCAATCACCCAGGAGCGGAACCAGAGGGGGTGGCCACGGGACCATGCCCCCCTTGGGCCCCGAAGGGCCTCGTGGGCTCCAAAGGGGGCTATAGCCGGCCGAGAAATGGGACATTACGGGTACCTACAAATATAATGTGATGAATAATGGTCATAAAATACCAGGTTTATGGTTCCTAGGACAAGGCGGAGGCAGATCCAGGGTGGGTGGGTGGATGGCCACGGGTCCATCCCCCGCGGGCCTCGAAGGGACTCATAGGCTTCGAGTGGGCCCCATAGTCGACCGAACAGATGCAGTTTTTTGACACAAAACGCAAGAGAATTGGACATCTTTGGGTTTCCAGGCCACCAAGAACAGTTGCAAGCAAAGTGAAGCGTCAACGAGAAGAGAGAAAAAAATATTCAACGACTGAAAGAGTTGGTAATTGGAACTTGTAAGCGTTATTACGCTGTTCAGGGCACTGTGTTGTTTCCGGGAGGACCTATATGCCAGCTTGCAGGGTCATCCCGACCGTTAAGGAGCCTTCCACGTTTTCCCTGACTTCTTTGCGTTTGCTCAGAGGGCCCTGCACTGTTGCTGCGCCCTTCCTGCCAGCGTGCCGGGGCGCTCTTGTCAGTCAAGGGCCTTCCACGGATTTTTTTTATTCGCCAGAAATGCTCTGTGGGTTATAGTCGGGGCCCCATATGTTAACGTGTCGGGCTATTCCCGGTTGCTCGGGGTCCCTTTACGTTGGTCTCAGTTCAGCTACCGAAACACTCGCGACATACTCACGGGCCCTCTGCATTGCTCTAGAGCGTTTACAGTTCTATGTCGCTTGCTTAGGGCTCTACGCTCTTGTCGGGGGCCCCATTTGTTAACCTGCTTATGCACACTCGATCGGTCCGGCCCTCCAAATTGTGTCTTGGGTACTCCCTATTTGAATGGAGGGCGCTGCACACTTGTCAGGGCCCCATCTGTTAACCTGCTCCGGCACACTAGATTGTTTGGGGTCGTGCATATTGGGTATTTTAATGCAGGGCCCTATGCTCTTGTGGGGCCATCTGATAGCCTGCTCGGATACACTTGATCTTTGGGGGCCCTCCACACGAAGTCTTGGGTACATTTTATTTCCATGTTCTTCGTTTTTGTCGGGGGTCTATCTGTTAAGCTGCTCGGGCCCTCTACATTGGGTCTTGGGCCCCTTTGAAGGGGCCCCTACGCACTTGTCGGGGCCCCCTCTGATCACTTTTTCGGCCAAACTGGATTGTTTGGGCGCCCTGCACATTGGATCTCGGCGTTCGAACTTGGGGCCCTGCGCTCCTATCGTGGGCATCTGATAACCTGTTCGGGTACACTCCATATTTCGGGGCAAGGTGGGCGGGGGTTGGTTGTCGAACCTTCGGTTCAGCCCCAATAATGTACAAAAATTTACATCTCTGACCATCACGCCACTGTTCTGGGGCCATGCACTCCACTAGCCATCACAATTGTCAACTGCCCAAATGTTCGCATATACGGAAACTACCAAATATTTTGGTATTTGATGTACACTGGCTTACTGACTGCGGAAGACGAGCCATGACGCGACAGCGGCGTATGTCTAGCGCTCAATTTGTAATTGAATCGTCTCAGCGACTTCGTGGATGACGTCGAGCTGGTGGGGCCTGCGTTTGGTCGCGGAAGAGTTTTTGTGAAGGTTGCTGAGAGCTGTTTTCAACTTGGTATTAGAGACTTCAAAAGACACTGAGTGTGTTTTTAGCAAGGTGTTGGAGTGTTACCTTTATATAATTGGATAAATAGGATTTAGACAGGAGTGATAGTTTGTTTATGCGCCCGCGCGCGTGTGCGTGTGTGTATGCGAGTATGTGTGTGTGTGTGTGTGTGTGTGTGTGTGGTCCGTTGTGGAATTGATAGGTCCTATCGACCTATCAAGTTGGCTTGTTGATATGAAGAAAATGAGAGATTCCTTGTCGGGTCATCTGGGAAACCCTGGTTCATACCTAAGAACCAAGCCATAATATGGACAACCACTGAAGTATTTTTCTGTCCATTACTGAACACCACCACCAAAGTTTGGTTGGGCTAAATCAGGCCTTCTGTTGTTTTTTTAGGCTGCCATATTGGTTTTCAACTGAATAACTGTATGAGATTTTTGAACTTTTCAACCTTTCAGTTGTGCTGGGTTTTAGCAATGAATGTTTTCTAGAAAATTGTTAAGATCTTTGGATAGCAATATTAAGACTGAGGACTAACTGGCGGTGGCTCTTTTCTTGAAGACTGCTCTCCTGTGTGCACAATTTCTGTGGCATGTGAGTTTTTGAGTTCAGTTAGAGGAGGGTGCGTAGAAGAGTGGCGTGGGAACCATGTCTAGTGGTGACATTGCATTGGGTCAAAAATAAAAATAAAACTATATATGATTCAGCTCAATGTTGCACACTGAGGACAGTATTGTATCAGAATCATTGTTGCTATGTAGGTACAGTGGATATTTACTAACCATGTAGGGGTGGGCAGCTCTATGAGGATGAAATAATTTCTCTGCTTCAGCTGCATTGCCCTTGTGGGTCCCAATCATACAGCAGTCCAGGCATGTAGTTTTGTGCATAAGTTTAGGGAACATAGTGAGCAGAGAAGGTTTTAAACTCAAGTAAATAGTGTAAGCCCTGTTTTGGCCTGAATTTAACCAAATTTCTCTTCAGGGCTGGGGGAGGGAATAGAGTTCCATGCAGCTCAATAGGAAACTATACCCCTGGTCCCAAATTGAATACACCAAGGTCATTAGATGGTTAGGTGGGTGTCACATTGCCTGAGCATCTGCCTGTTGGGTGAGAAAGATTCTGTGTTGGCTGGTAGGTAGCTGCACCAACTACAATGTGCCAGATGTTCCTATTTATATTACAGTAGCTTGCATATTTTAATCATAAGTTTGTCATCATGTGCCCTTGGAAATTATGTAACAGGTGCACAATGTTCCATGCATTTGCTTTGAAGAACTCAGTGGGGCTCATACCTTTAGAATAGAACTGTCAATACAAATAACTTTTCATCTGCTCCACAGCTTTAAAAGGTACTGTAGGTATGAGCACACACTTAGAAATGAAGCACAAAGACAAAACTAAAGCTCAGACTGAAATGTTTCTGAAAGCCATGTTCTTCCAGGGTAATCAACATGATGTGCAGCCAGATGTCGGCATGAACACTTCAAAGGGAACCACACATGCCAATGACCTGCACTTGATTGAAAGTGAGATTGTTGACTGGTTTCAGGAGTTTGGGGTGTCAGGAACCAAAAGGTTCACTAGAAAAACAAGAAGGTCAAAAATGCCTCCACTGTCTTGCTGTGTTTTGACAGACCAACCTGCCCAGGCAAGCTGGAACTAAATTACATGGCATGCCATGTGCATCCCCCATGCTATGATTTGGCATAGAATGCAGAATGTTGGGTCACATAGGAATTAGGTGCCAAAGTGGATGTAATTGTATGACCTGTGGCAACACCTAAGAATAGAGGACCTGTAACCCCCCTTTCTTAAGTCTTGTTTCATGTGAGAAGAGTTTTCAAACTGTGTTTGTGACACTCCCCAGACATTGGTGTGCTGAAGCTCTTATTTAAATTTGTTGACCTCAGGTCAGGTTAAAATGCACTTTGTTTTTTACTTCTTTTTGTGCAAGAAAGGTTTTGAAGTATGGCTGTGTGAAAGAACTTTTGCAACATATAATGCTCAGCAGTAAAGATTGTGTGTTGAAATTGGTGGTGACTGCACCCCGGGGCGCGGAAACTATGTTCAAGTCCGGAGGGGGGGGGGGGGGGGGGCAAGCTACAAAACATCAAGATGGGCCCCTAAGTTGGTATAGTGGGCCCACTACAAGCCGGAATGGCTCCTATGTCAGAACGGCCCCATAGGGTCAGAATGGGCTTTCTGGAGGACAAAGTAGACTCTTCGCAGTTACGCGCCCGAGTGGCCGGTTGGATATCCTTTGCTCGGGTGGGAACCAATTTGACCCCCTCCCCTCTGAGATCTCTGGGGCTAAGAGGGCTAGAGACACCAGATTCATGGGGTGTGTTGGCCTGTACGTGAACTCACTTAGGTCAAAATTGAAGCCTCCAAGGTCACGCCCTTCGGGTCAAATAAGGTCAGACAATGTCAAACTCCAAGTTGGTCTCTGAAGTGTCCCCAGAACCTAGATACCTCTTCTAAGCAGAAGGTCACATGCTCATTCGAGGTCAGTGACCTTGTTTGATGTTTCGAGGGTCATGGTAACCAAAATCATGGAAGGGCTGTTTTGAGTTTTGCATTTGAATATGCAACAAAGAGTAAGCTAGGCAGCATGTTCCTAAAAACGAAATGTTGACTTCGGTCATTTTAGGTCAGTGGCCTACTCTGACCTATAAAAAGCCCACGAAAGATGTCCAATTCAGTTTATGTTATCGATAAATTTGAAATGAGCACCGGAAACTGTATCAGCAAGCCGTGGAGTAATAAAACAGGTTGGTTTGACATTGGTCTGACCTTCATATCTGACCCTAGGTCAATGGAATTTGGTCTTTCATTTGTTGTGCTGCCAAAGAAAGTATCTTAGAGGTTTATGACTTCGTCGAACACTCCGTTGCTTCCCTTTTAAATTAAACGATTCCCTTGAAATTGACTTAGCTGAATCCATGGCCTGATTTGGGCCTACGGTGGGCCAGCGACCATACAAGGTACATCCAATTTTTGATACCACACGATCTGCTGTTCAGTTGTCTACAGCTGTGCAAAATCTGACGTGGCTACGCCACGCCGTTCGGAAACAATTACGGAAAAACCTTAGGGAGGTCAATTTGAACCCCAACCGAGCGTATGTTAATAATCGCCCTCTACGAGTTAGAATGGTCCCTCTTCACGTGGAAATTAGACTTCTATGGGCCAGAGCAAGCTCTCATAGGCCTCGGCCTCGATCTGGCACCAATATCCAGAAACCCCATTTGTTTTGACGCCTGCCAAAGCCCACAAGCTGCATCTTCCCAACGTTGACGATCTGTCCTGTGGCACCGAGCCAATCGCGTGAAAAGCGCAGTGTCGGCCCCAGTCGCGCCACTGTTGCACTTATGCTACTTCCGACAGGTGACTTTGGGCTGGGTGTCATCGGTGTAGTGCTTCATACTTCACAATTCCGGGCAGCAAGGCCCCAATTTTTTGATACTGCTCAGAAAAGACCCTGACGGTAGCTGCTTTGTTTGCTGTATATTTATTCCCAATGGTTTGCATGGGTGACTTCGGTCTCTGCGCACCCGCTAAGCATAGCGAGTGCGTGCGCCCTGAACGGACCACCCAAGTTGTGTCATCCAGTTGTAAGATAATTTTCAATCAGCCCTTTCGCCAGACAAGCATGTGAAGGGCTATGCGGGACGCGCAATTTCGCGACACGGTAACCTTGGGCCCGGGTTTAATCGTCGTCGGCCAGTTTCATTTGAGCGGGCCGAACAATGCATCCGCTCTGGGACTCGCAGCCGTTACCACTACTGGGTTACGGGTCTAGTTCCATAAGCCACGGAGACGGAAATGCACTTTGCATATAGCCTCAGGGTGTCAGCAGAGCCACCCTAGGTGGCTCTTAAGAGCTAATGTTTCCATTGTCATTTGGGGTGGCCAGTGGCACTAACACATTGCATATTTGTGTGTGTATTTCGAATGTGTTGCATGGTGGCTTCGTCAATAATTAGGTCAATGACACAAAAAAAAAATTAAAGTCAGACAATCGGAGAAGTTTCACTTTCCCCGGAACGTCAAGAAGTCGGTCAGTGATATGAATCAGGGCAGGACTTGTTTTTGCGGCGTGGGGGAAACCCGCGGTGAGCATCGGAGAGACGCCGTTCACTCCCAGATAGCATGGGGACCGACCTTGGACAATTCGCCAGTTGGTCTTAGCCGTTACCGGTACCATCGATATTGTAACACAGTATTGGGATATTGGGATATGAGAGGGTGCCCTGCTCGAAAATTCCTTGGGCTGGGGAATGGGTCCATGGAAGTCATTTTTAACCAAGCAGCTGTTGGCGATCGAAGGCATGACTTGATAAATCGCGTCAAAACGGGCCGTAACACACCTGAGGGAAAAACCATCAATTCGCCACGTTGGTTCACCTCGCAACGCGGCACCCGGGATGGACATGGGCGCAGGGAAGCCCAACCGCGAAAACCGCTACCCTAAGCGTGGGATCGCGTGCTTTCTGACAACTTAAACGACTCTCGGGTCCCCTTGCCTCTTGCGAACCGGTGTGGACGCGTCGTGAAGGTGGCCGTTGCTCGGGTCGAGCACATTGCCACGGTCTAGGCAATGACAGGTACAGGCATCCCGAAATATGTGCACAGAGCTGCTCAACTTCCATTCAGGTTACTTGTTCACAAAAGAAGCACAACTTAAAAGTTCGCTTTACTTATTCGCGTACCCCCATCATTCGCCATGAAAATCCTCAGGTTGGACAATAACACATGCGATAAATGACAATGTGGAGTCCATTGCTGCAATCGTCGCCTGGCGTTGCAATCCAAATATGGATAAACTGGTGGTTGGCCAATCATATTTTTTTCTCAAATTGCGCTGTTTGTTATTTTTCAGACCTGTTTACGGACAGCTGCGGGGGTGGTTCGGGGTCACGGGGTCTGTGACCTCCTACCGGTATCGTCATGGCGGGGCAGCGACATGAGTGTGGACGACATCTACGAGAGGTGTGAGTGTTTGGCTGACGGTGAAAAAGTTACATGGATCTTATAGGGACGGCTGATGGATTTGGGATGCTTCAGGTCTATTACCGTGTTAGTTTTTAAGCAACCGTTGCGGTTTTGAGAGCATTGGCATGTATTTGAAAACCTTTACCCCAGAAGTGTGTTGTTTCTTACTGTTCCATAGGAAACAGTTTGCTTGTCGTATTAAATCAACTTTATCATTTTGATGGCAAATATTTATAAAATCAACCTGCATAACACAGTGCACAGGCTGCACGAATGTAATTTTTTGTATTATTGTTTGTGGGGGCATGGAGCCTGGAACGTCGGCCAGCACTTCCATAGGGTTTGGAAAATCAGAATGTCACGAAGGGGAGCTATCAGAACGTCCAAGATCGCAGCGTCCAGTGTTCATATCTTCCAAAATCGTACCACCCAGCGTTCATGACATCTAAAATGGTGTTATTTCGTGCCCATTGTCGTAGTTCATAGGACCTAAGCTTGCAACGTCCGAAGTCATAACATCCAATGCTCACAACCTCCAGCGAGCTCGACGTCCAAAGCCATTTCTGATTCATGCCGTTAGATCGCTCCACAGTGGTATACTTCTTTGGAGTCCTGCCGCTATATGGCACAACAATACCACATTTCCTTCTCGCCAACAAATGGCTTAGTCGACCCATTGTTCAACCCATGATCACGTGATAAGTATAGTGGAACATCGTTAGTACGAACCACCTGGAATGCCCGACGGCTGGTGGTCCTACATTCGGTCCCAGCATAGGTTCTTTACCATGAGGGAGCCTAAGCCCCACCATCATCAATTTGATTATAACGCAACCCCGTGTCTACTACGCTCCATGGAAGGGAATTGCCTGGCTAAAATTCGTCGATGTGCTTTCTGACTATGACTCAACGGTGTAACCGTTGGTTCCAAACATTCATTGACACCAGTTGCTGCTCCGTTCCTCTGTGTAGATGAGTAGTAATGGCAGGTACGCATGCGTTTGGTTATGTGGGATACAGTATGCACAATTGGAGACCGGCTTTCCCCACTTGATGGTTATGGCCACACCTGTTTGTTGAGTTAGTAGAATGGGTGGGAAGGGGGGGGGGGGGACGTTCATGCGTGTGTGTCCGCATGCATATAACAATATTTTCACGGCAGACAGGGGAAGCTCGCGGAACTTGCACGAGCGTGCTAGCTAGCTGCGTATCGGTGCGGTCTTGCTCCGCTCCTGCCACTGGCTGAACACATCTGTACCCTCCGATCATACATCATGTTGAAAGAGAATGTCTCACATTTGAACATATTAAAGCAATCATCAGGCATGATGCTACTAGCTCACTGATAACTTGTGGTATATTTTGAGTGGAAAAGACTGTTCTAGACAGCACAATTCACTGTGTAGTAAACATGCTCCTCAATGGGTCGTCGTTTGATCACGTCATAGTGCCCTGCACAACACTGGTTGATAGCCAATTGACGACCGTTATGTCTGGAAATGGCGCTCACAAATGCCAGATATGAATTTTTCTTGGCCTTGATCGCCGCATGGCTCATGGAATGACAGTATGGGAATTTCATGTTGACTTTGAAATACTTTCCCCCCCGCACGCCTTTCCCCATTTTCGCGGGCGTATAGCTGAGAATCTAGAGGGACTTAAGTCTTAAGACGGTTAACAGACTTGTTAACCGTCTTAACAGAATTGTTAACAGCACCGTAAGTTCTTCAAGGTGGCTGTTTCAGATCAAAACCCCATATAAACGTGGAACACTCCCGTTAACGATCTTCGCAATGTTGTTGTCAACTGGCTAACCTGCTCTCTGCTGGCGTTGCATTCGAATTTAAGAGGGGTGTTCAACATTTGTGTGAGGTTTTGAGCCGAACTAGGCCTCTTGAAGATCATTCAGTGCAGCTCACAGTCCTTTTCTCCTCAAGATCGAAAACCATCTAGTTTCCAAGCTATGCGCCCGCGAGAATGTGCGCACTATTTCATGCAGACTTTTTCAGTGTTACCCAGGTATCCATGATGCCATAATAACGCCATTCAAATTTGGTCATTCTGCTGGTCATGCGGCGCTGGCGGTTAAGACAAGAACGCAGTTGTCGAGTGGTTCTTTTTCTGGCGTTCGTGAGCACGATTTCCAAATAATAACGGCCGTCAATTGGCTCTCAATGATTGCTGCGCGAGGCATGATGACGTCACCGATAATGCCACATTAAAGGGAGTGTTCCACACTTATATGGGGTTTTGAACTGAAATAGTCATCTTGAAGACCTTTCGGTGCTGTTTATAATCCTGCCCCCTCTTAAGACCAGGCCCCTTTTGGTTTCTGCGCTACACGCCCGCCAAAGTAGGGAAACGCATATCGGGGAGAGCATTTTAAAGTTACCTTGGCATTCATGATATCATAATGACGTCATTCATTTCCTTCCATTCTATAAGCCATGCGGCGGTGAAGGCCAAGAAAAATGTAATTGTCGGGGCGTTCATGTCTAGCATTTGTGGGCGCGATTTTTATATACAGCGGCCGCACATTGCCTCTCAGTGTTGTGCAAGGTACGATAACGTAATCAAGTCATGACGTATTAAGGAGCATATTTACTGAAGAGAGAATTGTGCTGCCTAGAGCAGTCTTTTCCTCGTAGAAAATGTACCAATAGTCATGATAAGTGAGCTTGTTTCACCATGGCTGAGGCTTGCTCCGATATCATCAGATGTGAGACATTTCCTTTAATTTTATTTGTTGCGGAATTGAGACATTGCACTATCTAGAGCAAGCTTTTCTACCTAAAAGTATACCAATAGTTGTAAGTAAGCCCAGTTCATCACATCTGATGCGTGCTTCAATATCGTCACATTTGGAATGTTCGCTTTAAAAGCAAACCAATAGTTACAAGTGAGCTCATTTAATTATATATCATGCTTACTTTAATATCTTCAACTGTGGACTATTCCCTTTCAGTTTTGCTGGAATAAAATGACTATTGGCAGTCGAACCGTCTACATGGGCTGTCAACACCATAAAAAGCGTGGTAACGGTACACAACATGCAATACAGTGTACTTTGTGATTCGGCATAACTGAACCGTACAGTCAGCCTCGTCATGCATATGCTTGGTTGCGCACAACAGACTATGAGACGCATGATGGGCCATCTGCGCTCTCAATTACCTACCATAAATACATACAAACTTAAGAACTACAGTTAGGGCACGCCCCGCCGCCTCAAGTGGTCATTTTTTTCGTGATTCATCATTTACATTTATGCCTGCGCCCCTGTCTGTCACCTTTTCCGTGTAGGTCTGATTGCGTCCCATTTTGTGTCTACGGCTGCAAATCCCTATTATGTGTTCCACAATGTGTTAGTTCTACATTTTATATACGTGGTGCCTCTTTGCATTTGAACATTTGTAATAAGCACTGCACACTGCGCTCTCTGCTGCCCTTCCCCTTTTGCGTACGGTATCCCGACCTCCATTGCCAAAGGCTTGACAAACGGCGAAGCGAACTGCGCATATCTAAAATCAATTTTATCGCACTCATGTTATCTATGTATACCCGTCTCATCGTTATGTTTTCCTCGGGCCTTATGCGAAGTGGTGATCACTGTCTGGATTACGCAGCTGCAGTCTGGCGCGTGGTAGAATGTGTTTTAAATTGGTAGGATGGGGCAAGTTTCTCAGGCATCGGAGCCATCTAACACCGGACCACGGACAGATCACGACTCGTATCGTTGAAGTTGATCTTTATAGAGGCGGGCTTGGCGTAAGTTCAAGCAAGGAACAAGCAGATATGATGTGATCGTCGTCACTCACCGGTTGCAGTCGACTGGCGTTCCGTCTGGTTTTCCGTGCTGTTCCGCCAGGTCGAGTGGTCAAGGTCAAGCCGGCCGCGCAGAGGCGCTCCCAGCGAGGTGGCGAGGCCACTATCCCCCTCCCAGTTAGGCTCTCTTCCGCCTGCCCCAACCTCACCCTCTTGCTTTATACTGTTCACATCGCCACACCCGTCTGGAGAGTGATGTGCCCCGACACTGAGCCGCGCCAGGGTGCCACTTGTAGCTCCGTCTTCTGTGCTGCTTCTTGTTGGTTGTCTTCATGTTGCTGGTCTTTACATCAGTGTCTTCAGAGTCGTCAGAATATAGATCGATTCCTCATCGCAGAGAACCGTTGTTTGTCCACTGGGATGATTTGCTTATTCGTTTTCTGGTGCCAAACCTGATGTGTATGGTACTGTCGGGGTTGTTGCTCCTTCAGTCCTGGATCAGCAGTCGCTCCTCCTACCTTCCATAGGCTCCAGCTGATCGTAATGGCGGATATCTCGCTGCTGAAAGCCTTGTTCCTTTTCCATCCGGTACGTATTACCTTGTTTACAACTGATGTCAACGAACGGATTGCCCACCGGACCTGAAATTTTTCCGACATTCCTAGCTTCGTCGGTATCTTCATGAATGCCTTATCTCCCACTTGGTATTGGGTTTCATTTCCACTCTGCTGGATTCTAAGACACCCCATTATTCTTCTTCTCCGTCTCCCCTGGTAGTCGCCTGTTCGTGAGCCCTGGTGAGGTTTAGGGCGGATATCTCCTGGCCAACCTGTGTCTGATAGCGGCGTGGGCCAGGCGCCAGCAAAACGAGCGAAATCTTAGTAATTGTTCCAGCTTCCACCAAATCATTGTGTGTTCCTACGCAGCAAAGAACCGATCGTTTCATGGACGCGTCCAACTGCTCCATTTGACTGCGGTTAAAAGGCGCTCACCCGTTCTTTGTCATTCCCCATCGACCTCGCTAATTGCCTGCAGGTCTTCTCTTGCGCCCTGTTGAACCGGAGCTTCTGACACCAATCTCGCAGCGGCTTATCCGTCCGCTGCGCGAACCCCTAAACTGCTCGACAGCCCAGCTCCTCCGCAGTGTCAGACGTGACTCGGCAGCGGCGGGGTCCGCCGCAGACTGAGTCGCATGAAATGCGCCCGGCATAGCGCATCGGACCAGATAGTTATTATCACCCTCGTCGGTAATCGGCAATGAGCTGGAATCCCGCCAACCCCTCGATCCATCTGCCATAGCGTCTTTGGGATCCTTGGTATTTCGTAGTCACTGGAGACCGCAATGATCCATAAACCACTGGAATGGTTTACCTGAGCGCGTAGGCTGGGAACTTCTGAGAGCGAAAATGAACGCAAAAACCTCATTGTCCGGGATGTGCCAATTTTTCTCACTGTCCGAAAACATTTTTGAAGCAAAACAAACGAGCCTTTCGGCTCCATCAGCGTTCTGTTGTGAAAGCACGCACTCCAAACCGGTGTACATCTGATGCATCTGCGCTGACCTCAAAGGCGCTCTGCATGTCCAGAAGGTGCAAAAGTCGTCGTCTTGCACAGAGCTTGCTTGCGTCTCTCGAACGCCTAGTCTCTACGATTCGTTCCGTGAGAACAGGCGTTGCCGAAAATTTTACGCAAGGGCGCGGCTGGAAGCATGCAGGGTCATGTATAAAGTCGCTGCAGTAGTTACTCACGCCGGCAAATTAACGAACATGCTTCGTTGTTTCCGGTTGAAAGCCGGTTTCTGATTGTTTCCACCTTAGCAGGGCCGGGCTCCAGTCCAAAGGCTGATACAGAGTGCTCCGACAACTTCATCCGGCGACGGCTGGGCACCGCCTCCGAGCTTTTCGTTGCCAATCCCGCTGGCCGAAGCCGATCTAAACCAGACTACAGCAAATATAAATGTTCTGGTACAGTCTGTCCACCCACGACTGATGTCATCTGAGCCTGTCGTGTCGTCCAGGCATGATGATGATGTTATGTAAGCACGATGCCTGCCAGCAGACCACGTAACGCCTCCGACATTAGGCGCGTAATGCAACCGGTGGCCGGCCTGCGTATCGAACGGCACGTCCAGGAATTCACATAGTTATCCTCCGTACTAAACGCGAGTTTTGCCGATTACTTGGAGCTACGGGGACTTGCCAGTATGGAGAGCTCAAATGCAAAGAAGTGCAATCTGCGAGCCCACTAGACTGTCCAAACACGCTTAAAACCGTCGGGAGGTACGTGACTTCATCCACTGTGTTGCGATTGAGTTCTCTTAAATGTAGTGCGAAACGGTAGGATTCAGCCGGCTCCGTGTCAGGGCTCTTCACCAGGATCGGTATCGTGTTGCCAACGGCGGAACGTGCACGACAAGGAGGAGGGAGTAACCCCATACACCCTGTCCCTGTATAAAGCAGGGTCAAATCCACCACCCGCTCCGAGGAAGGGATCCAAAATGTAGCCAGATGCCAGTCGCACGACTATCGGCTGTACTGGCGTCCCACCCTGCCTGGCCTCCAGCCGGACACACAAGTCCACCTATATGCAGGGCTCGCCTTGCGAAATCGACGCTGAAAGGCTTCAATTTTAGTAGAACATCGGTGCCGAGTATCGCTGGGATAGATAAGTGTTTTTGCCACTAGTACACGGACGTGACTGAGCGCTGCTGGCCCCGATCAGAATGCTTGCCGGAGTCTCACCCACACAACGCAGTTCCACGTCATCCTCTCCGATGGGATGTTGTTCTGCGGACGCCGGTGGCAGAGTGTGTGTGCCTGGCAAAGCCGCTGAAACGCACGTAAGCTACTGCACCGGTGTGTCGACTGGCCACGTGCAGTCTGGCTTGCCATTGTGTCCCCTCACGTGCAGTGGCTGAACTGCCGGCTGGGCAGCTGACCAAAATGGCCGAGCTGGGACCTCTGAAGCGCGCTGATGGGTCTCGGTTACCACCCGCCACTCGGCAGCAACCCGTTTAGTTGAAAGGGAATAGTTCCACATTTGAAGATTTTAAAGCAAGCATCATACGTGATGAGACGAGCTCACTTATAGCTATTTGTATGCTTTATCTGTTTATCATCATTATTATGTTGCGTCATTATTATATTCTTGTTATTATTATGTTCTTATCATTTTTATTTTCAGTACCGAAAAACGTTGGACTGACTTGAATGTGGACTGACTGACTGACCTTGGACTGACTGAAAGCGGGATTCAAAACGCAGCGTTTAAAAGCTGATGCGTGTGTGTGTACAGCAACGAAGCCTTGCCGAATCTAGGTTGGCACTGAGAGTTGGCTCGAAGGGTGTCAGACTGACGTCAGACTAGTCCGGGGCCGGAACCGTGGATTTAGAAAATCTCACGGCCATAATTTGGAGCTTGTATTAGCCAACCGTGTCAAACATGTATCCGTTATGCAATCTAGAGAAAACTCACTCACTTACGGTTAATTTATTGTCTTGTGATCTTCATGTTCGGACATTTTTCTGCCCTATGTGACATCTTTGTCAGCCTGAGCGGCGCGGACGGGCCTGCGACTGTCCGCCGTTGGGGTCGTGTGTTGGCAGTGCGTCTGTCGTTCCCGTTTGTGCACGTGCGGCGCGCTGACGCGCGGGACACGCCGGAACTGGCCCGCCTCCTGCTCAGCCTGGCCAGACACGTGGACGAGACGGGTGTCTCTCGCAGGTGGGCGCCACACCGGCCCTCGGCCCGCTTCAGTGCAGGCGAAGGTGACCTCCTCGCGTGTGGCATCTCCGGCATTCGCGCCTCGACTGACCCCCACCTTCGAGGCAGAGGCAGCTACGCGGAGGGAACTGTGATTTTCACGTTCGTGCTGTGCGTCATTGTAGAAAATCTCTGGGTGCGAACAGTGTCATTTTTAAAACTTACTCCTCACCACACATACCAGCAATTGGACTCAAGTCTAGTAGTTTCGGACGTCAGATTTATACGCCCGGTATTTATAAGAACACGCAACGAACACGAAAGCGTCGAGTCTCAGGTGCCGTGCGTGCCCTGTGCCTCTCTCAGCTCTCCGTCCCCTGGCTCGACAGCGTGGCTTCCGAGCTGCAGACGGAGCAGAGGCGGCTGGCGCAGCAGCTGCATGGCTACCACGCCACGCGCCTGCTACACACCCTGCTGGAAGAGATGGCGACCGGACTTTCGGCGGCTGGCGACCACACCGACCACCAGGTGAGGGGAGAACTGACCACAACGATCACCAGGTGGGGGAGAACTGATCACACCGATCACCAGAGGAGGGGGGGGGGGGGAACTAACCACACCGATCGCCAGGTGAGGGGATAATTGACCACACCGACCACCAGGTGAGGGGAGAACTGACCACACCGATCACCAGGTGAGGGGAGAACTGATCCCACCGATCACCAGAGGGGGGGGGGGAACTAACCACACCGATCACCAGGTGAGGGGATAATTGACCACACCGACCACCAGGTGAGGGGAGAACTGATCACCACACGATCACCAGAGGGGGGGGGGGGGGAACTAACCACACCGATCACCAGGTGAGAGGATAATTGACCACACCGACCACCAGGTGAGGGGAGAACTGACCACACCGATCACCAGGTGAGGGGAGAACTGATCCCACCGATCACCAGTGAGGGGTGGGGAGAGCTGACCACACCGACCACCCGGTGGGGCAGAACTGACCACACCGATCACCAGGTGAGGGGGCGAAAACTGACCACACCGACCATCAGGGGGCCCTGACCACGACCATCAGGGGGCTGACCACGCCGACCATCAGGGGCCCTGACCACACCGACCATCAGGGGCCCTGACCACGCCGACCATCAGGGGCCCTGACCACACCGACCATCAGGGGCCCTGACCACACCGACCATCAGGGGCCCTGACCACACCGACCATCAGGGGCCCTGACCACGCCGACCATCAGGGGGCCCTGACCACACCGACCATCAGGGGCCCTGACCACACCGACCATCAGGGGGCCCTGACCACACCGACCATCAGGGGCCCTGACCACACCGACCATCAGGGGGCCCTGACCACACCGACCATCAGGGGCCCTGACCACACCGACGACGACCGGGTAAGATTGAGAGGGAAGATCGGTCTCACACTGGCCATCGGGGGAAATCGGGGAGCACCCAACACGCGACCGGCGACCATCGTATGAGATAAAGGGGATGCCTGATTGTGACGGCCACAAGTGAGGTCAAGAGGCGCGCCGACCATGGTGCAGTGTGGCTCATGCTGGCTTGCGTGGGTGTTCCGAATACCATCACGGCAGTTTCTTGTGTGTACTTGTTTTAGTAATAATTATAATACACTTTCGAGCTGTTCAACGTCTTGGTCCCAGCGGTTTTCAGCGCAGCGTGTTTACTGAGCATTAGTTTCTTATCCTACTCCGATCCCTCACTGAATCTGTCGCTGCATTAAACCGCAGCTAGACTGCCGTCGTTGACCCGGCCTGATCGGCATCGCCAGCTGCGTGAGGCTGTGCGGGAAGGCCTCTCGCTGGCCGAGCTCCACGACGCGCTGCCGCTGGCGGCGCCGGCCGCCGACGGCCGCGCCCGCGAGCACGCTCTGCTCGAGCTGACAGAGGACGAGCTGGCGCCGTCGGCCGAGCACCGTCAGACACTGGGCCGGCTGCCGCGTGCGCTGGACCAGCAGCTGGCGCGGCTGGCGCTCCGATGCGCTACCGCTCCTCCAGCAGGAGCATCAAGGTGCGCCTGGGCGGGCCACAGCGGCGGCGGGGGGGGGGGGGGGGGGGGGGCACGGGCGATTTGTGAGGTGGCGAGTGAAGTCAAGATTGGAGATCTCAGGCGCTGGTTGAAGAGCTGGGCCGCCGGAAAGCGTTGTTGCGCCTGGCTTAGATATCTATTGTGCGGGTTATGCGGGGAGCACATTGTCGACTTCTTCGTAGAGTCAATGACGATGTACCATTTATATCTTTGGCATGAGCTTAACCAACGAACGTGTCGACCCTGAGAGGAGTGCTACCCACCGTTTGGCCGTAGAGACTCCGAATTTTTCTACAGTACCTCAACCGCCTCCCGCGCGGTCAGTGAGCGACCCGACCGGTCGACACCTGTCGGCCCACGCGTCGTTCGTCGACGCCGCACGCCGCACCTCTGCAGGCGGTGCGGAGTCGGCGGCGCTTGGCCCGACCTGAGCCGTCCCCGGTGCCACCAGACGCGGAGCCGGACCCGGAGCGGCTGACCCAGCTGCCCGCCCAGCTGGAGGAGCTGCTGCGCGCGCGCGACGACTCGCAGCGCCGGCTGGACCAGCTGCTGGAGCGGCGCGACGCCCAGCTGCTGCGCCAGAGCCAGCTGATGGGCGCGCAGCTGACCATGCTGCTCAGGCTGGTGCGTGGCAGACGGGCAGAGGGCGTTCCCAGCTGCTGCCGTCAAGAGCTTGGTGCTGGGCGGGATGGGCGATAGTAACACGAACGGGCTAGTCTGTGGAGGGCAGGCCGATCGTCGCAAGCCGACGGGATAGTCCGTAGTCCAGGTGGGGTTACGGGACGGTAGTGCGTGCATTTGGCAAGGACAATGGCAAGCGTGTCTTTGACGAGGCGTAGTCATGACGCATGCCGTGGATGACGGAGGGGTCTGTGTTTATCAATAACCGCGCGGCGAGGTACGAGCGTATTGTTGATGGAGATCCGTAAAACTTGTCACGGCCCTGTGATTGTACAATATTTGCTATATACAAGGACATTCTGGCAGTGTGCTGCCAATCTTTCCGCCTAACTGCGTTGCGGTGATATTTTCCCGTTCCTTACATTCAGGCATGCTGTCAACGATCACTTGAGCAACCTCCGTACTCGTTTGGGTACGAAAAAATATAGCGGGCATCAGGAAAACGGCAGGCGGTGCAAATTTGCGTGTCATGTCCCTCATGGAAGAGTAGAATGAAATGTGCGGCAGTGTGAGTGCCTGCGTGCGTGGCGTGCGCGCGTGCGTGCGTGCGTGCGTGCGTGAGTGTGTGTGCGTGTTTTTTGTTTTTGTTTTTTGCATCTCGTAATTAGCATAACTGTCCCATTTCCAGGTAAAACAAACACAAGCTGGAACACAAGGTGGATCTTGAGAGAAAAACATTGACCATTTGTCCAGCAACATACAAGGAATACTGCTGAAAATTAGGTAGCGTATGGCCAGACGTTACATGGGCCTGACACATTTAGCTGTACAATCCATTTTTGAAGCTAACTTGCTGCTGTCATAGAATGTGAGGTTGTCAATGCAGGGTTGAATTGGTCATATGTTGTTAGTCAGTTTTGGAGTTTTTTACTTAAGTTCCTGCATTGAACAATGATGGCTCCTGAAGCGTGCATTGCTGCACCAGAAAACGCGTATTGATGTTATATTTGTGACGCATAACTGCGCACACATCTGCATGTAAGCTTTACAAACTTCGTCCCCTCTCCTGACTAACGCAGCCCGTGCGTGCAGTGTCCTCTAGTGTGCACGTGCGGTGCGCTGTCCTCTCAGCCGACCAATATCCCGCTCGGCGCATACAAGTCTGATGTACTGTGAGTGATGAGTTTGATTGTACTCCGAGTACGCGGACCGCAGACCTGACCGCGAGCGGGTATCAGCCGGCGGCCGGTGCGCCTGACCGCGCCTTCCCTCGCCGGCAGGCTGCTGACGCTGCAGATCCAGTGCGAGACGTACACCGAGCCGTGCCTGGCGGCGCTCCGCTCCGCAGCGCGCCACGTGCGCGCCGACAGCGCGCGCCTGGACGGCCGGCTGAGCGCCGCCAAGCAGCAGCTGCCGCCTACCAGACGGCCGGCCAGCAGTTCACGGCGCTGGCGCAACGCTAACCCGCCAGCTGTGTCGCGAGCTGGACCACCAGCGCTGGCTCATCGCCGAGATGGACGCGCTTTGCCGACGACTCCAGCGCGGCCACCGCCGCCGCCGAAGACGGCGCGGAACAGGTGGACTAGCGGGCGGCGAGAGGACGCGTTCGAAGAGCGGCCGCTCGTGGGCGCGGTGTGAGCGCGGTCGGCTGTCACATACGGACGCTGGACACAGCGCTGCGCCGCTGAAGCAATGAGTTAACTCGCTGGTAAGGGGAACGCTGCGCTGTTGTATCGTGTGTGTGTCGTTCGGCTGGCAGAAAACCAGCATGCGATTGTCAGAACGCGTTATCTGAGGTGTGGAAGGTGTGGCCATCATCCATCTTGAATATCTGCACTGACGCGCGCGTCCAGTTTTGACAGTAAAAGGTGAATAGTTCTATCGCGGTGGACAGCGGGAAAGTGGCCAGATGTAATGCTTGGGTGTAAGATGATCGTGTTTCGTCTACTGTGCGTGTTTTGGTGTATAATTCCTGTGGTTCGAAAAGTGCCGTGCATATGTGTCGTTTGATCAGGGGTGTCACTTAACATACGTGGGAGGGGCCCGAGCCCCCCCGCCCTAATGCTGTTCTGAGCTTCTTCCCCCAGTGCTCCTCTGACTCCCCCTCTGCTTGTGAGCAGAGGGAGTACTGGGCCAAATAAATATAGACCAATTGTCTTAACTTTTTGTATGCTAGGTAGCATATACCGTGACACATCACTAACTATAAGGTAAGTTTTGTATCCAGTCGAGTCCTGTAGGTGCCTAGTGTTATTGTCATGCTAACTCCTTCATATGTAAGGTCAGGGTACAAATGGTTGAGAAGTTTTCAAATGATAGTGTCTTGATTGGGACAAACAGCAATTGACTGCAGTATGTGCCAGCTTTTAAAAGTACAGGATGGGCCAGGTAAAACTCAACGCGTTTTTTTTCCAAACCAGTTGTAAGTGTATTTGTTGCATGTGTGTCTATGTCTCAAAATTATTTCGGGACCAGAGGTCTCGGAGGGTCGCCATAAGGGGATACGTGCGCAAACTTGGATTTGTCCGCCTACGATCCGGGTTTCAAATATATATATATATATATATATATATAATATATATATATATATATATATATACACACAAATAGTCACCGGAATCACATCTGGAAGCGTTGCAGTCGGCATCAGCTTTTGTGAAACTTGAAGTGTGAATTTCCACCCATTTCTTGAATATTAGAAAAATTGAAATCTGCGCATAATTTATCATTATCGGTGTGTGTGATTTGGGCACTTATCCATGCATTAACAAGGGCAGTGTTCTTAACATGCGTGGCTTTCACAACTAGTTTACACGCAGGTTCTCGACAGACAAGTCTGTCGATAAAGCACGTGCATTTCGGTTGAGGTAAAACAAAACAGGTGCTTTTCCATGCAGCAGTTACGAAAATGGTCCTCAACCTTCCCCAGAATAACTTAAGTAGATGCCCTCCTGTTGAGAATGCTATTCTGGGCTCATTTCATTACATACGCTTTGCAAGCCTGCTGTGTTTCTGGGGACGCTGTCCCGAACCTTCGCACCTCTGAAGGGAAGCGACCTTGACCCGCTTCATTTCGAATGCATGGCAAATGAAGCCCCCGTAACGTCAATGTCCTGCGCAGCGCAGGTCGAGCATAAAAGCGTTGCTAGTTAAGCTGGCTCTTCAGCGGCCACACGCGATCATACTGATGTACTCATACTGGGTGCACGACGAGTTCACCCACGCAGATGCGCAGCTAGAATCCTTGGTAAGGGGGAGGGGCGCAGCACTGACAAAGAGCCCCTCCTGATGAACGGCCCCCCCACCCGAAACATAACCAAATATGACTCACTTGATCTCAAAGGTACCGCCTACTCCGTTTTATTTTAGTATGTACACTTTTTACTAGAACAAGCCAGAAGATACCGAAAGATGACATTCTGTTAGTGCTTTGAAGTCAGTAACCTGAAGACGCCAGGCCTTAAACGATATCATAGGAAAAATCCACCTTCGCTATTCATTTTGTAATTGCTGAGTGAACTCCTTCTGAATGATAACACTTCGGGACGTTGCCAGAATGTTGCTGTGTTGCACAGACACATAGTGAACGTACATAATGGTTAACGTAGATTGTAGATCGACATGGAGTTATAGATTTGCTTGGACATGCCCAATTACTGCGTGTCTGCGTATCTACAGCCCTTTTCCAGAATCCAGCTGTGAAAGAAGTACATCGCATGCCTTTGACTATGTGCACTCGCAAGCAGAGCAGAAACCATGATGCCCTGCGCTGCAGTCTCAGTAGGGCGCGCGGCGTTGGTCCCGCGGCTGACAATAGGCGGAACTCAGCGGGTGGATAAAAACGATATTTTTCCGCAACGGTATCTTGAACGCTTGAGGATGTCAATTCGTACGTTTAGAAAGTAACCCGTGAGCTTGTTTCACCTAGACATTCTCTTAGACGGATCATAAGGATGCACTAGCGTTCACAGCGCATCAAACAGGTGCCAAAATTTGACCAGGAATATACACGAGCTAAGGTAGAATCTCTGTATTCGGATTGCTGTCCCTGTCAACCCACACAGAGAGTAGTTTGAACAGTAAGGATTTATTCAAAAAGACTTTCGGAAACGTTTCACGATGGCTGTTCTCGTGCACTAGGCGCCCGTCGTCCTGCGCTAGATGCTGTGTCCGATGCCGCTCGGTTTAAAGAAAACCGCAACCCCGGTCATCGATGTTCTCGCTTCTAAGATTGCAAGTACGCATGCTCAAGATTTGCTGGTGTTATTCGTTTCACATGTGATTCGGGTAAGGATGGACGTCCTCGTTTCTGGCGGCCTTTTTCAGTGTCGGCCCCCGTTTTGGACAACCGTACTGAAAACCGAAGAGAAGCTTACCTTTTCCGGGTGAGGGCCCAGTGGTCAGTGCAGTGGGGGCAAAGTAATTTCCCGTTCAGAGGCTAACGTAAGGGTCCATTCCATTACAGCGCGGGGTGCTTGACGTTTGCCATGCTGGCGACTCGGGGGGCGGGGTCTCCAGGTCGATAAGGAAGACCTTGTAGGGATCAGTCATGCATGCCTTCTTTTGGCTTTCCGTCGTAAACTCTCATATTCACTTGTCAAAGGGCCTAACACAAGATGCCCTCTAGCATTCGGGGTCTCGCCCTTATCACTGTCCAGCAAATGCTACCCTGGCCGACTTAAGGCCCCTTGCCGACATAGAACCCTCTGTCAGGCACCTTGGGGGCCTGACAGGCACAGGAGCACACATTGTTTCAGGGGCACCGACCGATACGAATCGCGGGTACCCACCTCGTCCCCGCTTGGGAAATCGGCCCCCATGACTTAGACAAACACGGGGGCAATTGCTCGGTGTTGGTGCTCTCTGACCGATATAGAGGCCCGCATTGTCCCAGAGTTTTCCACGTGGGCGCAAGGGGCCCCCTTGGCTGATATTTGAGGGCCCGACCCCGCGAGTCGCGGTCCTTTTATGACCTACCGCCAACTCCTCGTGCCCTCCAATCTGACACTTGATCGACGGTGCCGAGGGGCACTTCAGGGCCGTCTGCGGGACCCCACGAACACTACTCCCGGCCGGGCACCTTGCTAATACAGGACCCTTGGCCAGGTATTGTAATTCCCAGATCGACACAGGGGGCCCCGCATTGACTCAGAGGCACGGGCGATGTAAATCGCGGGCGCCACCTTATCTCTGCCTGGGAAATGGGCCTGTGTCTCAGACCAGAGGCTGAAATAATCTTGTGGCGTACCCGCCTCCACCACAGGCGTAATTTCACAAGATAGGCCTGACGGGCTGAGAGGACCAAATCTAACCATAAATTCACCAAATCGCATGTTTCTCTCCCCGGATTTGACCCACTTTTCTCTCAACGTTTTGAAGTTGAAGCCACCGCCCCAACGGAAAAGGAAACTCTATCCCAGCACCAATGAGCTTTCCCGCTCTTTTTTGACGGAAGCTGTTGACGTTGGGCATCATTATCAGTTTGTTTGGAGCTTTTCGTCGGAACCAGGTTTCGGCAATGGCGTAGGGTCGATGTTATATAGCTTCAGATGTTCTTAAAATGTGCAGCCTTGAGTGTAAAGAGCACGAGTTGATGTGTGAGACTTTTAAAGGCTGCAACGGAAACCCCCAGCTGGTAGCCGCAAGACGGGTGCGGGCAGCAACTCAGTGCTCGCATCAGGTATGTTGTCGAGGAATTACCGCCGTTGGTTAGTCTGTGGTGTTGATCGCCAAGTTCTCGTAACTGTTCCATCGAGCATTTATGGCAAGTTGGAGGTCAGCACATTCCAACGGTTCTTCCAGATGTAAACGGCTAGTGACCGTCTCGCGTTTTTGGGGTCCTAGCTTCGACCAGTTTGTTTTCACCCAATAGCACAAAACAGACCTGAACACAAAAGTAGACAGTAGCATTAGACAGTAGTACTAGCACTATTCCTCGGAGAAAAAAACAAGAGAATGGAGATAGAGATACGTTGATATTTTGGCAACAGGCCTTTATCGTAACGAGTAGCAGACGTGAATGCATTCCTGCTTTTCCTTTTGATAAATGCATGTTGCTGAAATTATCAAGGATGTACATCTTCATTTCCACTTTTTGCCCGAGGAATAAGTCTATTACTGCCTTCCTATCCATACGCATAATGCTCCTTGCAAATGCACTTAACAACTTGCGTAAAAGACAGCTCAAATGAGGTTTTGAATGGGCTGCCCTCCGCAGCAAAACGACTTGGAATCTAACAACATTACTAGATCTTTAATTCCAGCATTGAGGGTGCAAATTGAAGCGGCCGAAATCCGGGGAAATCGGTTTTTGGGGAGCAGGGGTCTACCTAAAATCGGTGGGGGACTGAGCCCCCCACCGATTTTAAAAAGTGACATTCCTGCATTTGATGCATATATCCTTATGACACACTCGCGATATGCATACGCTCATCATGGGTCCTCTAAAATGGTCTAGGGCCCATCCAATTCCCTGTCACTTGCTTGGGGCTCTACGCTTTTGTCGGGGGCCCCATCTGTTACCTGCTTTGGCACACTGGGTCGTTCGGAGCCCTCCAAATTGGGTCCTATGTACTTCCTACCTTGA